CTTGGACCCGACTGAGCGGATGCGGCCTGATCCAGATTTCACTGATGACCTAAGACTCATAAGACTCAGAAACGATTCTGAAAGCTAGAATTCGAAAACTACAGTACATGGCTTGGGGGCCCTTGTCTCCGTGAATCTTCATGCGCGTGTAGCAAGTGCGAACATGTCAGCCCGATTCGCAAGCGCCTACTCTTCCCGGACCATTGCGACTATTCGGGACTCACAACTTGGCCAGTAGACCAATATGGCTATATGCCTCTGGCAGCTGTACCGACATCCTTGTTCGTCGGTCCAAGTGAAACTGCTGAGCCCTCGAAATGTGACGCGCCCAACTGCCCCAACAAGATTCTATGACAGTCAAAACGCCGAAGCCCAACAAGCCCAACTCCCAAATTCGCGCTGCGTCCGGGACCTATCTTGTAGGCTGGAAGGAGCTGCACGGTGAGCAGAGCGCTCTCAAGTGCGATGTGCATGGGATGGAGAGGAAGTCTGCCAAGTTATCTCTGGGTTTTCACCCCAAAGTATCTAGCACAAGAATGCTTGAAAGGACCCTCTTGCTTGATAGGTCTCGCAAGAGCTCTGCACTGAAACCTTGGGTTTTGGGTCGGAAGTGACTTCCTCCGGCCATCCCACGACTTCTGTGAAAATTCAGCGCCCCTTCCAGCTGGCTTGGTGCCCTGGGCGCGAAGAGGCTGAAACGGGGGGGGGGGGGGGGGGGGGGTTATGGTTGCATGTTTCTGCGTGTTCTTGCATGTTATCGCATCCTGTCTGGTTAAAGGGTTCAGTGGATCAAAAGCACTCCTGTTGCGGAATTCCAAGTGGGCACTTTTGCAGCATCCGCTTAAGCCCCAGAGCGTTCACATCTAGCTCAACTCAAATCTCCACAAAGTCCCTCTTCTCAACATCCCCACACACGCCTCTGTCAAGTTCTCGTCATGTCTTTCACACTTCGGACACTGAGTCCCGCACGAACCAGCGCCACGACATCAGAGCCGAGGGCAAGCAAGCAGTTGCCAGAAACTGTCCAACTGCCAAACATCCGTGATGGAGCTTCCCGGCTTGGTGCTGAAGGCTTCATGCAGCAACATCCAAGGTAAGACAGTCTTAGCCCCTGGTAGGCCGGGTAAGCGAAAGCTCGAAAGCGACTCTGTGGCGCCCGCGCAGAGGAGACGCAGCCAGTGCACTGTGAGCGGAACACTCCTCTGTACCCGCAAGCCACCGCGACAAGCCACTGGACAAGATCAGCCGATGGAAACCCACACTCAACAGCCCCTCCCAATGGTGTACATGCTCTACCATCTCGGATGCCTGAGGAGCATTGCGATGACTTCCGGGCCAGCGCATGGTTTTGGCTGGTCAACCTCCCTGTTGAAACTGAAACCACAGGCCCTACTCGTACAATGTCCACGAAGTCACGGCGCGCTAACACAGCTCATGTCCATCCATGTCCCCACCAGCAATCCGAATTACCCGAACCTGTGGTGAATGCAAACCATGGAGCTAGGATGAGGAACGGCCCTCGAGCTATGTTTCGTGATTGCTTCGCCGGCTTCGCGCAGCTTCTCGAGCTCGGTGCTGCTGCGCAGCTTTGGTACGTCTCGACGGATTGAAGAAACGAAAGTGCGAAACAGGAAACTGGCGCCACCAAGGCTGCTTTGCCCGGTGGCCTGCCGGCCATGTGCATGGACGTGAGAGCTGACTGGAGTGCTGATGCTTGTATAGGACTGTGTTTGTTCTATTCAATTCTATTTCAGCTAGCATTCCAGCAACCGTGCGGTAGTGCGGTAGTGCGGTGCCATATGGTGACGTGCCCCGGTCTTGAAGCCTTGAAGCACTAGCTGCCGTTATTGCCATGACCATCCCTGATCCTTTACCGGTGCCAAACATGTCTCGGAAATCTCTCACGGGCAGCTAATCATCATCAATGCACAACATGTGCAGGCGCTGCAACGCTATCAGCCCACTATCCACTCAATGAATCACAACAAGGAACTTCAGTCTCCATGGGCAAGCTGATGCCTCCTGCAGCGCTCTGCGATCAATCAACTTTTCAGGGAATGAATGCTGGGCTTCCAAGCAGGATCCGAGGGTCGTCATCTGTCAGAATCCAAAGTCAGTGGAGCCTCTTGACCCATGAACTAATGCAACTGAACCCTCTTGATTCCTCCATGTTCGGAAGCCGCATTTAAAAAAAAGGCCCTCCAGGCCAGCGCGAGCGGACGTTCGCGACCGGCCCGGCTTGCAGCATAGGAGCTGTCACCCGCGAAGAAGGTTCTATGTTTCACGAAGTCACGCAGCCCACCCATAAGGACTCTGCCACACGAATTTGGACCTCAATCTGCAACAATGGACAATCGAAAAAGCCAATCAGCATCCCTGGCGTTCCACTAACCTTTTGCAAACTGGATCGTGAACATTCGTGAACTCCGTGACAACTGACAGCAAAGGTCTGAGACCCGCTATCGCAGGGCGAGCTTCTTGAGATCGTCACTGGACTTTGCGCGTGCTGGAGCCTTCGACTACGGACCCCGCTAGCTTCGTTACCTTCATTTGTTCATACCTGACACAGACTCTAGCCGACCACTCGGTAAGAGCTCACTACCCAAGCCATGACCCGAAATCCAATGTATCCCAGCACCAAAGAACCAACAACGGGGCTGTGACCTCAACACAAGCACTGCGAGCCACTGAGTGGACCCGGGCCAAGCTACCAAGCTCTCGTGAGTGCAGAGTCACCGGGCTTGGAGTTTGTTCACATGTCACTTTGTTGGTGGCTGTGTGCGGGCTTGGTGTGTCGGTCGCGTCGGAAAAGGTTGCTCACGCCTCCGGATTTGCATACGATGTGCGTTGTCCGTGACGTCGTCTACATCCATGACTTTGTGCGATGCTTTGGCAACAACGATGTTCGTATCGTTCAAGCAGGGAAGCTGGCTAAGATGGATGGGATCGGAGCTATCGGAGCTATGCCTGCAGAGATCCTGCGGACCAGAACATGCAGGATTTTGCTGCTTCTTAAAATCGCCTCTCTCAGTCGGCATCAGCGCAGAATCGACAGGAACGGTCAAGACTGGACCTTCTCCAAGAGACGAACCGTCCGCACCCCTCGAAAGCTCGTGAAGTGCTGATCAGCATGTGGAGCTTCAGGTGTGCGGCGGGAGATGTGGCTGGTAGCAGCATGACGGGCCGGCAAAGTGTAAAGTACTTGAGCTCAGCCTGCATCCTGGCCACAAACTGGAATTTAAGTTTCTGCCTCGGATGGCGCCGATGGGGGAGAGCATAGGAGAGCAGGCGGTGAGATGGATGAGATGGCTAGCAGGCTCAGCAGAGATGGGAGAGGTAGGGGGGTTGGCCTTTCGTTTGCCATGGAACTTCCAATCCTTGTGTTCAATTCTCGCCCAAAACAGATGGCACCTCGACGCACAGCAATGCGGCAACATGGTTGTCTTGGCTGTCTGGTGACCGGGGAGACACGGCCGAGAAAGGGCAAAACACCGCCATGCACTGATAGTACCTGTAACCTGAGCCTAACCAGGTGGAGGCTTTGATGGGAGGTGGAAGATGCTGGTGCCCCAAGGTGGCCGAAGCGCTGTTTTTGCTGTGCGTTTTTTCTTGTTGCTGCATGAGCAGTCGCTTACGCGTCAAACAACAGACCACGACTACACATCAAAACATTCGGTAAAGTCGAGCGCATGTTTTTGCTTTGCGGTCGCTCGTGCCTGCAGGCAACCGAAAAAGCAACACGCGACCGCAGCACCAAAAAACAAACTGCTCGTGTCTGTAAGATGCCCAGAAGGCGCCTCATAAGGAACCGCGCGGCCGCACGGCAAACAAACAAAACAGAGGGCGCGTTTCCGCACGGTCGCGGGCCAAGGAATCACTCACTCACTTCCGCCTCCTCGACCAAGGCTGGGCTTACATGTAATCCCAGCGGGCGACCGCACGGGCAAAAGAAAAACACGCCTCTCCCCCAAGGTGGCAGATGCCTGCATATGTCGCCACCTCGTGGACATGTTTTGTTGAGATGGTTATACGGGAAGGTTGGCCGCAAGTAAAACATAACACCAGATGCCTACCGCCTGCGTGCGACAGTTGGCCTCCCCTCGGTCTCTGCGGAAGCCTGGTGCCTCATTCACCTCGCTCCCTTCACCGTCCCCAACACGGAGGTCCCTGATGGTTGATGCAAACCGAGAAGGAAAACATCACTGGTCTGCTTCCGGCGAGCCCCAATACCGCCAATACTCAGCCCATCTTACTTGCCTGCTAAACACAACAAAGGGCAGGTCTCTGCTGCCATGAGTGACAAAAGTGGAACACACAGTTTTTCTGGGGCAGCTCCAGTTTCAAGGCAAAGTCCGCGCGACAACGATCTGAGGGCAAGATTTCCAAAGAAATCAGACCCCTGTGCCAAAGATCTGAGGCCCAAAGGCGCTGCTGCGCATATTGAGAACCTTTCACTATGGAAAAGGGCAGCTACGAACCCATCACCATCAGGTCGCGCAATGAGAGCTGACATGAAACTGCATGCTACGAAGCTCTAAAGATTTGCATGTTGACTTGAGAGGCGCGAACATGGGACATGTTAAGCTATCGTGCCAAAGCTCCTGAGCAGCACTGAGCACTAGTTGGATCACTCCTGCTGAGATCTATGTTTTTGCAGCGATCACCTCTGGGTCCTCTGCATGAAGACCGCCCACGATTAGAGCAGAACGCTCCCGCTCAGGCGACAAGAAATTTACAAAGGCGTGCAACCTGACAGCAGAGAAGCTCACAGGACTTACAGTGAGCCCAGCTAATTATTCAAGCCCCCCACCCCTTCCCCGGCGAACATCCTGACACCTCCAGAAAGGGATGCTACCGGGCTTCCGCAGAAAGATGCAGAGAGAAAGAGAGAAAGAGAAAGAGGGAGGAGAGAGAGAGAGAGATGCTGTGCTGAGTACTTTACTTCAGAAGGCACAACAGAGATGTAGCTCTCGAAAGGCGAACCTCGCACACGTCTGATCTCAGTCGAAGAGATGGGCTCTGCTCGGAAGGCTTGGTCTCGATAGCCTCGGCACAGCACAACACTTCCTCCGGAACAACAAAGAAAAAAGCTGCGGAGCGTCTACTTTAGCAAAAAGGCTTGCAAGTCTTTTGGGCGCAGGTCTTGCATGTTCAGGCTGATAGAGCACACCGCGCACGCTGCGCAGCTGGTGCAGCTGGTGAAGGGAAGAACAGATGGAAAGGAAAAAAAGAGGAAAATGAGGGACTTCAAGTGACTTCAACCCCTCGTTCTGAGCTCTGCCGCGGTAGAATCGTCTGCATGGACATTGCCTTCTGTTGTCTGATACCTGGGCTTGGCAAGCTTCGGCCGAAGTGTAAGGGCTGTGCGCCCGTGCTGCTGACCCCCAAGAAGAAAGGGGCTGATGAGCGCTGTAGGAAGAAAGGGGTAAGGGTAGGTGGCAGGGTGTGGGTAGGAGTAGGGTAGGAGGAGGGCAGGGGAGGGGGGGAGGGGGGAGGAGGGGGGGAGGGGGGGAGGGGGGGGGGGGAGGAGGGGGGAGGGGGGGAGGGGGGGAGGGGGGGGGAGGGGGGGGGGGAGTGGGGGGAGGGGGGGGAGGGGGGGAGGGGGGGAGGGGGGGAGGGGGGGGAGGGGGGGAGGGGGGGAGGGGGGAGGGGGAGGGGGGAGGGGGGGAGGGGGGGAGGGGGGAGGGGGGAGGGAGGGGGGGAGGGGGGAGGGGGGGGGAGGGGGGGGGGAGGGGGGGAGGGGGGAGGAAAATTGATGCTTGGACAAATTTGGGCCAAGCTGGACAAGGTGCCGGGATCCACTTCGAGAAGACATCCAAGGATCTCCTGTTTAGATCGTTCCGAGCTACCGCTGACAGTCCATGTGTCTGCACTCAGGCAGACTGCACCGCCGGGTCGTACCGTGTGACAAAGTGGCATCACTGGTCAGTGGTTGCAACGGTTGCCTTGTACTCCGGCGACATTCGACCTTCCTGAGGCAGTAGCGGCACAGCGGCACAGCGGTACAGCGGCACTTGGCTCCAAGAAAGGTGCACATGGCGTGGAGGCACTGTGGCAGCCCTGCCTTGGAAGCTGGACAGCGGCGGTCTTTCAGCAAGCTTCGCCTTGAGAGATGCATGGAGGGACAAAACCACCAAGGAGAGCACCAAGAAATGTGCTGCTCCTTTTCTTCGAGGAATCCATGGCTCTTTCCGAGACCAAGTTGCACCCCGTGGCTTCTGGCATAGGAGAAAGCCTTGCACTCTCCGGGCCTCGGCGCTTGATGCTGAGGGACTGCGCTAGACAAAGAAGATCTGATGAAAAACAAGACCCCCCCCCCCGCCCCCGCCCGAGTGAGAAGTGTTTTGATTCCGACAACCAATCTGAAGGATTTCCCGCACAGACAAGGCCCCCCCCCCATCGTCTTGAAGACTTTGAAGACCTGAGGTGCACGCCGAGTGCTGAACCTCAGTCCAGAACGAACACCACCCGACCCAGGACTTTAGAGAATGCATCCAAAGGGTTCAGGGGCCCGTTCAGGGTGATCTTTCTTTGGCCTGTGTTGGGCTGCGCGATGTTGCAGGATGTTGCACCGATGTATCACAATGCACAGAATGGAAACTCGACAGTGCAAGCAGGCTCCGAGAAAACAAGAGATTTTTTCTCGCCTGAGAACCGATCACGACAAGACTTGTCCCCAAGATTCCCCAAGCCCACTTTGGCATGACAGGAGGCCATGGATACCGGCCCATGGCCAAGGCGTAGCCCAAAACGCCACATGAGAATAGATCCTTAGAAGGCGAAGCTCCTCAAGCAAGCTTTGAGGGAGTTCGGAGAGAAACATCACTCCCAAGTCCTGCTCTGTCAAAACCGCACACCAGAGCCTTGACCCTCCTCCTCACGGCTGTGAGACCACAGCCATCCACAGCCTTTTGAGCCCGTCTACTACCCCCCAAAGAAAGAATCTTATTTTTGGGCTTCAAGAAGAAAAGCTTGACTTCGATGTCTCGCTGCCCCTGCGTGTGTGGGCTTCGGTGGGCCATCCACCAATTCCGGCGCCAGGAACATGGCATCTCGGCCTGGACGGTGCTTGGCAGGTAGCCGTTTGCGTGGCGTATGTGGCAAGGGGCAGCATTCCCCAGAATCCCAGAAGCGGCGAATACCGAAGACCTGCCCTCATAAACAAAAACTCGAGGAACATACCCCTTTGCAACTGCAGGGCGCTCTCGGTCTGCCTTTGTCGTCCAGAGTGCGCGACTCCCCAAAGTCAGACAGCAAGACCTCCGGCATTGCTACACAGCTCCACAGAGACAGCACATGACGGCATCGCGACAGGCATCGAGGCTTCCCAACTTACAGCAAAGGATGACCAGCAGGGGAACCCCAGCGACATCCCCAGCCTTGCAGTCCCCGTTCGGCAGGTGTTGCAGCCATGTGTTCTCGGCCCGAATGCGTCCGTGCCTGAAACTTCAGGAGTGGCATGGGTGGCATGTGTGCCATGGCCTACGGATGGAGTGCTACTTTGCCATGGTGGGCCCTTGATAGGCGGGGTCACTTGCACCTTGTTTCAAGAGTACTCAGCATCCTGAGCAGTGCCTTTCGCAAGCCCTTGATTCTGAAATCCGAGTGGCACCAAGCCCAGGGAATCCAAGTCCAAAGTGGCTTTGATGAGGGACCTTTTTGACAGCTTTGGCAGAATGGACAGATTTTGGTCAAGCGAAGCTGGCAGCTCGCCCCTGGCCTCAAGATTGTCAGTGCCTCGGCCTCGCGGGCGCTCCCTGGGTTGGGCAGTGTCTCGCAGCAGTCGAAAAGGTTGTCACCAAGATCCTGAAAACAGGCTGCCGCTACGTCCAAGCACAAAGAACACGCATGCCAGAAAAACATATATATATATGTATATATATATATATATATGTATATATATATATATATATATATATGTATATATATATATATATATATGTATACATATATATGTTATATATGTATATATATATGTAATATACATGTATACATGTATGATATATGTATTATGTATATATGTATATATGTATATATGTATATATGTATATATGTATATATGTATATATGTATAGTATATATGTATATATGTATATATGTATATATGTATATATGTGTATACACTTTTTGTGAATATGTGTATATGCTTATATATGTAAATCTGAATGTGTGTGTATGTGTATATGTGTATATGTGAAAATGTGTGTATATGTGTGCATGTGTGTGTGTGTGTGTCTATGTGTGTATATGTGTGTATATGTGCGTATATGTGTGTATGTGTGTGTGTGTGTATATGCGTGTATATGTGCGTATATGTGTGTATGTGTGTGTATATGATGTGTATATGTATATGTATATACACATACATATGCGTATGCGTATGCGCACCCCCCCCCCCCCCCCCCCGATCCACACATTTGGCTTCGGTTGGATGAGAATGAATCTGGAGCACCGGGACCCTGGACTCCACAATCTGGAGTCTGTGATCTGCTCCAGATTCACTCTGGAAATCTGGAGTCTGGAGCCTGGGTACCCCAGACTTAATCTGAGGACTTGCTTTCTTACCCGGAATCCGTTGTCGGATTCAGTCGTTTCTATATGGTCACTTCTCTAGATTATACGCAAACAGGAAAATAATTATGAGAACTCAGAATTTAATGAAACTATACCCTTCGCAGCGTCCTGTTCTAAAGCGCTTGTGATGCAAAAATTGCCAGTTTCAGACGTTTTCTTCTCCCACAACAAGCAAAGCCTGCTGCCTCGTATGTCTTAGCTATGTTATGCTTTCTCCAAAACTAAAAAAACATGAATGCTGGCTTTAGTGGTTATACTGAATGTAAAGCCTAATGACCAAACTTAAGATGTGAACTTTCTTGATAAAAAAATATAGTGCATCCAATATATACTTGGGATTCCCCCCTCCAATAAGCAGCGAAGAGCCTGACACGTTGTCTTGGTTTTGTCGGGTGATGCAAAGAATAAACATAGCAGAATTAATCAACTGACTACAAATACTGATCCCTATGCCATCTATGGACCTTCCGGAATCTCAAGCCAGACTGATCTCTGATTTATCAACCATGGTTCAGAGCATGACTCAACATGATCAAGTCCGCACAGGTAGCAGATTACACTGCCCACTACACGGACACACTCCGATCATGGCATCTGCACTGAACTCTCGTCCCTGCCTCATCGCAGACCAGCAACACCGCCCCACTGGGGTCGTCCTTTCCAGATAGGACAAAACTGGGCAGAAGGCACTCTGAATTGGAAGTAAGATGATGTAAGCCTGTTGAACGACATTTGTTTCTCAGATCAAGATACGAGATTCTGTCGAACCATCGTCAACTCTCCAGCGGGGATGCCTTGTAGGCACCCGAGCGCCACGTGTCAGCCGCGCAGCCAGGCGCGACTCCTCGGCAATGGCCCACGCATTCGGTCCCAGAGGGCAGATGACGGCAAATGCATAGTGGCATAGTGAGGATCATGGAAGCAGAAATCTCTTGGCATCTGAGCTGCTTGAGTTTTAAGGCCTGCTGCATGCTGTGGCACTCTCTCTGATCAGAACACCCTCTGCAGTGCCGCAGCCCTTGAGGATGACGCCACCAGCGCGCTCAAGCATCAGGATGTCCTGTGTCCAAGGCAAGCCAGGCAAGCTAGGCTTGAGTAGGCTAGGCTTGAGCCAGGCTCAAGCTGGACCATAGAGTCTTGCGGTTGCAACGCGTGGCTTCAAACGACATTGGGTTGAGAGGTTTGCTGAGGCAGTGACCACGTGTAACAACTGACCACATTGGGACATGCGCGAAAACAAGCCTCCTGCCCTGGTTACATTGCCCGGGGACGGTATGCCGGCTTGGACGGGGATCCCATGGTCCCCCCCCTTCAGGACATCCTGGAGATATAACGAGGACCAAGGTCCTCAACACCGGGGCCCTGACACCAAAGTCGCGCTTCCGGCACCCGACAAACAGACCCCCAGAAAGGATCACTGCGAAGAGCATTTCGGGGTACTCTTCTTAAGCCGTGTAATCTTTCACAAAGCTCCTGGAAGCTATCCACAGCCCAGCAGCAGCGAAATCGTTTGCACTGCAACGTCTCAGCTACATCTCCGAATCGGAAGAGGTAGGGCAATTGATTTCTCTCTATATTGCCTTATTCATATGAAGTCTGACTCCGGAAGCTTGACGCACTTGTGATTTCGATTCACCTTTTTTTGCTCTAGGCCTGGCGTGGAACTAAAACGAGCGGAATGGTTATCGAAATACCAGGTGCTTGCATGGATGACCCACATCGCGGCTATTGGTGCATCTTAGGAGTTTCTCCGAGACCAGTTCTGGACTTTCTCGCAGCTTCTTCGATCATCTTTGCCTGTTCCAACTTTTAACCCGGTTACCCAGCGGCAGATGGAACGCGATTCGAGCAACCAGCCAGTCGGAGCGAGACGACATGCGTCAGGCAGCACAAACATGCACCAGGGATACTCGCAGTTTGACAAGGTCAAAAATGCCGTTCCTGTGTTGAACCTGCAGCACCAACAACATCACCGAAAATCGCACCCAGCAACATTGGAAGTGGAACCAGAGAGACCTACAGTAAGCGTTGTTGGGAGTTGTTTTGACCGCTTTAGCCGTTTTAGCCCCACTGCCCAGTGCCTTCAGAGTCGAGACCGTCTCCGATTGCGCTTGGAACCTGCAAACTTTTATCCGCACCTGCAAACCTGTGCCCTATGCTGGAGGTGCTCAGGCCCATTGTGCACATTGCTGCCTGATACTGCCTTTCTCAGCAAGACCCTGAGACCCTCCGACCCTCAGAGCTCACAAAGCTGTTCCTGCACCTCCTGTCACCCTTCTGACGAGGCAAACAGAAACCCAAGTTGATCCAGGTTGCGGGGGAGGGCATTGCTGAGCTTGCGTTGCGCTTAAGCGCCAAAAGCTCCCAGCTTGGGCCACGGCCACTGCGGAGTGAAGCGCTTCACCGGGACGGCCCTGACAGACATGACATCAGCCGTATGCAGTTGCGAAACAGACTTGAGCAACACCAAAAATCAGGCCTCTTGTCCCAGCTGTCGAAATGGATCTCAATTTGGCCTGCACATTCGTAGGTATGAGTTCAGGGAAGCGGGAAAGGAGAGTGAGTCCAATGTGCCCCCATGAAAGTTGGAGTCTTGGTGAAACAATGTGAAACATCCAAGTGGCTCAACCAACTCGGCGACGCGGCTCGGAGCACATGAAGCATCTTGTACCTGAACCGGAGATGCTCCTTTTGTTGTTGGAGGCAAGCAAGGTGGGCTTGGGGCATATTATCCAACATTGGCTGGCGCTTCTTCCCGCGACTTGGCGAAGGAAGCACATTGCCAGGAACATGGTCTTCTGTAGGAAGACATACCTACTATATTTGCCAATGTTCACCCGATGTGCAGTCCGATTTGCGAGACAGGGGAGAGCCAGGACCGTAGGAAGGCACGCACTGAGAAACCGGAAGCTGCGAAGACGTCGTCACCCCCCATCTTTTCTCGCGTCTCACGCGGCGCAGCCGCCTGCTGCCTGCAGGCCACACACATAGCCCGCAGCGAGCTCCCACACGCCACGCTGCAATCTCTTGCACGACACGAGGCGTGCTCCCACGCTTCATGCGGCGCGTTGCCACGTGCTCATTCCGCAGCTCCTATACCCAGACAAAGCCATGTGTTTCTTCAGAAGTATCCACACGATACAGGCAGACAACTAACTGCCAGGCCGCTACATGGTCAAGAAATGATGTCCGTTCCCACCAAAACATGGAATGCTGAGAAGCAACGCCGAATATTCCGCCTTACAAGGAAGATAGAATGTCGCCTGATACATCATCTCTCCTAGTTTCTGCTGCAGAAGCGACAAGATGTTGATGTGAGGGGGAGGCCTTGCAAAAAACACCCGCTCACCTTGCCGCCTCAAAGTCTGGAGTGACTGCACGTGGCAGGGACTTTCTTCCCGAGTAACGAATAGTAGGCAGAAGCGCGGTCACCTGGTACGCAATCCCCTCGCTGGCTTTGACAGCCTTGCCCTTAGCCTGGCCCACAAAGTCCTCCTGATTCAGCCCAGGCACCGTCCAGAGTCCCAGGGCGGCAGGGTTGTCAGAGCATCCTCGTAGGGAGTCCTGCAAGCTTCGACACACCAGGTCCTCTTCATTTATGAATACCCTTTGATGAGTTTCTGGCGAGCTAAACACCTCGACTTCCTCCGATACTCCCGCACTCCAGTCATTCCAGCCTCTATTCCTGCTACTACTGTTTCTAAAACAATCTGCTCTCAGAAGCGTCTGTAGAACTGACTCTCAACGATGCAGTACAATCATCTGCCTGGCCACAGCCTTTGAGTGTGGTGAACGAACTGAACTCACGCCGCAAGAAGTTGGGAAGGCTCTTCTGAAACAAGCCCATGCTCCATCTCGCAGCCGGTCCTCTGAAATTCCATCACCTTGTATTTTCAGACTCTTCTAGATTTGAAGGCAGGCTCAACAGCATGTATCTTTCCTTTGGGAGTTCCTGCTTCATTCTGGTCCCAGATGTGATCGGATTGGCAATGTCTGGAAGATCCCGGGACACCAATCTAGTTGTCAACGTCATCTGGGCCCATCTCCCAACAGGGCACCTTGGACCTTGAGCCCTACGAGAGCTGCTGGCGCCTCTGACATGGTCGACGTGAAGTTTTCTTCAGAGAACAGGTCCTTGCAGAAAACACAAAAACCAAAGCAAGAAACAAAGCCTTTCAGCCTTCTCTAGAGGGATCAAGTATCCTAAAACGAAGGGATTTGTGAAACCTCAGGCCACAGCGTCCCGGCCCCAAGTGCATGGGGCTACTGGGGCTACCGCCCAAAGGTTGCCCGAACTTTGCCATGTGGAGAGCTCGAACCCAAGCACGTGCACTCTGCTGCAATATGTTCTAAATTAGTTGTTGTTTCAGTCCTTTCCCTTCACTTGCTTGCACAAGCTTGCACTGAGAACCCTGTCGCAGTGCAAAGAATAAGAAATCTCACGGGCTCCTCCTGAACAGCTGGCGAGCCATCCTCGGTCACATTCCTGCGACTTTCGGTTACATGCTGTGACGCTTAAGAAGTTCGGGCTGTTGCAGCTCAGTTGCACATGACACAAGCACCGCCAGTACGGGGCATGGGATCACTTTTAACCAAGAACGGGCAAAAGGTGTCACAGTCAGAAAAATGCGTGCCCTGCTCCGAGCCTGCTCATCGGCGCGGCTGTTGTCTCTGTTGAAGACGACAATTGGCGATCCTGCAAGGGGCAACTGTTGCGCTCTGAGATGACGGGACCTTGCATCTCAAGGCCGAGTAGGCGGTGTTTGAAAAACCGCAGTGGCTCTTGCAGAGTGCCCTTGCAGAGTGCTCATGCAGAGTGCTTGCAGGTTTTACACTTCGGCGGGCTCCTTGCTGACATATGAAGCTTTGTGAGGATATGAACTCTGCGCCGAGATAAGTGATGTCTGACAGGCTTAGCATGCTTCTTGTTACACTCTCCCTTGCCATGAACACTCTGGGCACTTTGCCTTGGACTCCTTGGACTCCTTGGGCATCTTCTTGTACGACAACACACCCCTTGGATGGCGTTGCTGCAATTTGAGCTCCACAGCTCAAGGTCTTATCGTGGCTGAAACCAAGCACAAGAAGAACATGCGGCGTGCATTCTAGACTTCAGAACGTGATCAACACAGGCCTTTGTGCCAACAGCATGCCGGCCAAGCCGAAACCAGTCGCCATCCTCACACGTGCAGGAGGCCGCAAAACTTCTTCACAGGCCGCAAACGTTTTTGGCCTTCAAGGGCAGTCACAACATGACCTGAAATCTCACCATGCCTGGTGACAGCAATCTGACAAGTCAACCGTGTCCGGTATTGCATTACGCATAGTTACATAGGCCCGTTGTGTGCACAAACATTGTACCCTCAGGACACGAGGAGTACCCTGGATTCATAATCAACGAGATGCGTGGACTCCTGTCACAGGAACAAATGCGCGATGCACCCGTTGAGCACTGATCGCCCTCAAAAGTGGATCTGGCAGTAGATACCGAAGCATCAATCAACATTGACTTCGAATCATGAATTGGAAGACTACATTTCTCTGAGCACAAATTTGATGCTGCATTGTGATGTTTTCGATACAGTGCTGCAGCAACAGTCGTACGTACATCATGTAGTGTATGCAGTACACGGTTTTTGTCATAAACCTGATCCACTTGAGAGGCGCAGTATTTGCCCATTCCATCCTTTTAAATCGGCTCGAGCCCCAAATGGACGGGGATCAACAAAGGCCAAGCTTAGCAGGTCTGGACAGCGCAAGTGCCAGAATCGACCCTACTGAAAAAGCACGGTTCATGCAGCTAGCGCCAATCGACGACCCTGTAACCTCATCGGCAGGCTTGCCGCGTCCCAAAAAATCTTGATGACCTTAGGCTTGGCGATTTGCGCCGTACGCAAAATGACAAGTAAAAGGCCAGTCACGGATTTTTTTGTCTGTTCTACAAGCTCCAGCTTACGCATTCCAGATGGTTTGCGGTTACCATGGAACACCATGACGAATTCCTAGGTTCATCACGTACGTGCTCGCGCTTCATCCTTTCGGAAAATGGTCTCGACTGGCGCTGCCTTTGCACAATGGTATTCATCGAAAACTGAACATGGGCTTACCGCAGGTTTGCCTCAGCGACCGTCTCTTTCTCTCTCTCTCTCTCTCTTTCTTTCTTTCTTTCTCTCTTTCTCTCTCTCTCTCTCTCTCTCTCTCTCTCTCTCTCTCTCTCTTTCAAACACAGCGTTTACGACATGTAACCAAATGCTGAGATGAGCACGCAAAAGGCTGGCGGCAGGAACACGTCAAGCCGAGCAAGCTTACAAATTTTGACCGGAGCCGACGTGTCGAGCGTGTGCCGAATTCCTCATTAACTCAGCTCGTGCAGTTCAGGTTGAACTGCAGAGGCGGTCAAGCAGCCTGGATGCAGTGGGATATGTCCCACGCACCGGACTTTGCTGTGTCGTAGTGGCTTGCATCCGTAAGGAATCACCGTGTGCGCCAAGCAGTTTGGCAGTGCAAAGAAGGGGCAAGGTTGGCGGTGATTGGGAAACGGCTTGGGTGTTTGCCCCATGGCACTAGCGAAGCCACGAAGTCCTCTGAAAGCACTGCAGGGAGTCGGAAGTGGGCCGGCGTGAGGGACTCTGGCAAGCTCGGGGCAGCGACTGCACACCCAACAGATCCCCGAAATGGCCACGGCGGGGATCTGCACCCACTACACCATGCACATAAAGGCCACAGGCGATCCGCCTTTGGAGCTGAAGAACCTTGAGATTTTTGCTGGAGAAAAAAAAACCAAGCGGATCAATCACTGCTTGGTGCTGTTGGACGATCTTTAGGACAACGCTGTGTTTCGTTCAGCCCGAAACCCTACACCCGAAACGCCCCTTACGTACGCGCAGTTCGCGGAGGCAGTGTGCCTCCTCACTTGCCCTGGCCCCCATTTGAGTTCTTGTTCTTCATCTTGTTCACTTTTCGCGCTTCCTACTTGATGCTTTGCTGAGGCAAGGCTTGTGGAATATCCTCTCTACCACGCTCCTCTTACGGTTTTGTTCCTGCGTTGCTTGTTCAACGGGCCACCATCAAGGGGTCTGCAAATTTAACCGAGGGTGCTGGGTGGCGAAGGGTAGCTGATTATAACAGATTGGGTGTTCTGCTGCGGCTCCCGCAGGAACCTTGCTTTTCGGGCACGCGTTCCCGCTGCGTGACGCCTGCGCCCGCTGTCCGCAGTTCCTCCGCACAACGTGCGCTATGAGTGTTCGGTCTGGCATCTTTCAAAGTTTGATTTCCGAGCACGCCACAAACACGTTGCGATGTGCGTCTGCTGCTGCAGCTTCTGGGTCCAAGTTTGAAGCAAATTTTTTTCATGCCTGCCGGAAGGGGATATGCGTCGCTCTTGGGTTTTGCTGGCATGTGTGCCTCCAGCTGTGGCTGTGACCTGTAACACGGGCAGCAGCTTGACGCACGAGGGAGACTGTGGGACTATGGGCAACACGAGCAACTTCACTACAGGTTCCTTCTGGCCGGTGTTTGCTCCGCTGTCTTCGTGACGTCTGGCTGCGTAGAGGGCTCTACTACAGACTGCGCCACCCTCCAGGCTGCCTACGACGCCATGGACCCCAGCGCCGGTAAACTATGGCTTCGGATGCGAGGAATGTTCTACAGATGCCTGCAACCCACAACAACTCCGCTTTCCACGACAGCCAATGCTATGATAGGCGGCTTAGCAGTAACGGCGAGGGCCCTGACCGGGGCACCAGGCATGGCGCTGCTCGCGTGGTATTTGATTGGCGACGAGATCCCCAGCTGAGAATTCGTCCATGTTCGGCCGGTTGTAAAGCCGTCAAGGCCTCTTCAAAGCCTGCATGGGGGGCTGTTCCGAATCATGCGCCTCATGCTTGGGGCAGTAGTATGGTTTACCTAAACCCTAAGCCTAAACCTTGAACCCTAAACCCTAAACCCTGGGTTTAGGGTTTAAGGGTTTAGGGTTTAGGGTTTAGGGTTTAAGGGTTAAGGGTTTAGGGTTTAGGGTTTAAGGGTTCAGGGTTTAAGCCCTTTTTGACCCCGCGCGCTCTGACGGGTCCGTGGCTGCCGAACAACCCTAAACCCTATACGGGGGGCAACCAAAGGGGGAAAGGGGTCAACCCCAAAGACCGCCCTGGACTTATATTCCCCAGATCGACCAGCACAACAAACACAGAACACGGACCAGGAGAACCAGGGAAGGGAGTAAAGGGGGCCTATGCCTAAGCATCTAGGAACCAACCCCAACCCCAACCACGCGGGCTTTACCTTTTTTAAGCTTGTGGCCTTAGTACTTCTGGCCATCCTTGAGCCAAAATGTACACTGGTGTTTTACCCTTTCAAACCTGTAAAAGGCAACCTCCGCACTCCCCCTGTCCTGAGCTTCCCTCAGGACACCATTGGAGGTGCAGGCTCCTTTTCATTCTGGCCAAAAGCTTTTTTTTTCACAGCGGCCAAACATATGTTTAACGTCCAATAGACGGGCCGTAGCCATTGGCTTGCATATCAGGGCTTAACGTCATCCAGGACGAATGAATTGAAACACCTTTCTTGAAGACCTTTCAGTCTTCTTCACCACAACCGTGGTCTTCACTTCCCTAAGGGCTATACACTCTCTACCATCAGGGATTTCCTTAACCTTAATGGCAAAAACCCTAACCCTTTTTGCTCGACGCATTGATCTTTCCTCCAACCATTCTGCCGATCGTCACTATATCTTTGGAAAAGGATTCATCCTTTTGTATCCCATCCTTGAAAACCAGTCACTTCTTCGCCTCCCGACCAGCTTCGCAGATTCGATGTAGCTGCACCAAGATGCTCTCAAGATCCTTGACCTGAACCAACGGATCGTTCAAACATCGCTGAATAGAGGATACCAATCCTTCTCGCCGTGCTTCTTCTATCGCTTTACACGATGTGGTCACCTGTGTCGTTGTGGCAACCGACTCCGATGCAGCGGGAACAGAAGCTTGTCCCTTCTTTCCGGACTCTCCTCCTTCTTCTGGTGCTACATCCCTTCTCTTGGGACTTGACGCCTTCTCCTTCTTTTGTTACCTATTTGCAGAAACACCAGGTTTTGACCGCGTCCGATGAGAGGACTTCTCCGCCTTGGGAATTGCAACCTTTTTTGACGACAAACCCACTTCCCCACGATCCACATTGATTGGCCATGATTGGCCTTTTCTTAGGCTTTGGGGCAAGCACAGTATATGGATCATGCGTTGCAGCGGCAGCTTTCCTCTTCTTTTTGTTCTTCTCCGGCTCCTCATCGACCTGGACAATCACTTCTGTGACTTCTGGCACTACCTCTTCAACTGCAGGCTCATCATCTGACTCTTCCTCCAGTGGCCTTTTTTTACCACCTTTGGGGTCGCCTTCACCCTCCAGCTGAGCTTTTTCGTACCATATCCTCAATTCATTTGTCCACTCTTCGGCCTCTGCCAGCGGAATATCACAGGATCTGACCACCTCGTACAATTCCAGCGTAGATAACATCTTATCCGTCCATGAAAGCCACTCATCATTTTTCTGATCCTCGTCAGTAATCCTCCAAAGCTTGAAGATTGGCTCGCCTTCCCAGCGATCGATGTCATCCCTCCCACCAGACATGTACGACACCGCTTCGGCAATTAGGTTGCTTTTTTCTGTTTCTTCGTCATAAACCATCTCATCCTCCAAATCCTCTCCTCTTTCAGGAGAAAAGCTCCTTTCACCATCGCCCTTCCTTGGCCGATCTCTTGGCGGTGTAGCAGGCGACCTTGGCCTCTCATTGCGCCTAATATGCTCAGAGACGCATTGATCACCTCGCTTGCATTTTCCAGTTTGAAAAAACTGAATACATTTCACACCAGTCGCATCGTGCGAATATTTGCAATCTTTACCAGCATGACACCCTCGTCCATCCACATAGTACCTACATCAGTACGAAGCTAACACCACATCCTCATTGGAATAAATAAATTTGCAGTTCGCACCAAACTTGCAGCGATCGTTCCCTTAGTGAAACCAATAGCAGATACCTTGCCTTTTTGTCAGGCGTTCTGCTTCAAGACGGTCCATCGAACGATCCCGCTCTACATGGACATGCCATGACTTGGAGAACTACCTTCTTCACCCAAGGTGCTAGTTGTGGATGCTTTAGTGGAACTTCCTGGAAAACCCTTTCTGAT